AAAAAAAAAAAAAGAAAAGAAAATAGAAAAACTTAGCTGGGCATGGTGGCCAGCACCTGTAGCCCCAACTACTCCAGAGGCTGAGGCAAGAGAATAACTTGAGCCCAGGAGTTTGAGGTTGCTGTAAGCTGGGCTGATGCCCATGGCACTCTAGCCCGGGCAACAGAGCAAGACTCTGTCTCAAAAGAAAAAAAACGTTAAGAATCATCCCTTAAATTGTCTTATATATTTGGATTTCTTTCCTTTTTTGTTTCCATGTCAGTCGGGTAATGTGCTGACGTTATAACAAAGCTTGAGGCAGGCACGTCTCACATATGCTCATGAAAACCCAATCATCACACTTATGAACTACAAAAGGACCAAATTTGGACTTAGCAGATTTTTCTAAACCATTGTACATTATTAATTCAAAAATTATTGAATAGGAATATAGTATGCTGCATATTACTACATTAAATTTTAAACTGATAAAACTAAAATGAAACAGTTTCAGCATCTGTAATTTCCTCTAAGTTAAAAAAAAAAGAAACAACCAACAGCTGAAAAACATTATCAAAAACATTAGTAAGAAATGTGAATTCAACTTACAGGCAGGCATTGAAGACACTTCAGCTGTTACAATACTTTTTATCCCCAAGTTTGATAAGCCACCTCTGATTAAGCCACACGTAAATGCTAAATACTAAAAGGAAAAAAAAAATGTAAAAAATAGTAAGGATTTACTAAAACAGTAAAGCTATTGACAAATAAGACATTTAGTTAAGCCATGCTATCAATAAGTCATTGCTGCTGAAAAAGAGTTGTGGAAGAACTGCTCAAATTACTGAAAAATATGATGGTTGGAAGGTGTCCCAGCTCCTTGGCAACTAAAGCATGGACACAGGTCTTAAGCTCAAACAATTTAAGTGCTCCAGTCCAGGACTATGAACCTAGAGTGAATGACAAAAACAAGCTGGAAACAGATTAGAATTAGTTCTGGATGCAGCAAAGGTAGTTTGTGTCTACTGTCTGTGCTGCCCACAGGATTCTAACTAGATTCTCCCTGTGGAATGACTTTACTTCTTTACTGGCTTTACTGGCTTCTTTACTGGCTGCTCTAACACCCCCTAATTCTTACCTGTTTTCTGAGCCTATCAATTCTATAAACTAACTAGCAATATTCCATTCAACCAGAGTTGATTTCTACTATCTACAACCAAGAAGCTTGACTTATTCAAGACTTACAGCCTGCCACAACAAAGAATTATCACCTAGTTCAAAATATTGACAGTACGGATGTTGACAAACTTTGTCATATAAAAACAAAGAGAGAGAATAGGATTGAGCTATAGCAGGGAAAGTCATGATAAGAATGGGAATTAAAAAATTAATTATCCAAGGAATTTTTATTATCTATCTAAATTTCTGTATTGCATGATGTTCAATAACATTACATATCTGTGAATATAAAATACTGTTATTTTAAAATTAGTATACATAAATGGGTACCAAGAAGTAATTAGATCTAAATCATGACATCTCTAAGGAAGAGACCTTAGAGATTATCTCAAGAGTTCTTAATCTGTAATTTGTGAGCCCCATGAAAATAAAAACCATGTACATGTGCTTATTTAAGGGGAATTGTGTTCCAATTCTCAAAGATGTCTATAACCCCAAAATAGTTAAAAATCAGGGCTGGGTGCAGTGGCTCACTCCTGTAACTCTAGGCGGGAAGATCAATTTGAGGCCAGGAGCTTGAGACCAGGCTGAACAACATGAGACCCCGTCTGTACAAAAAAAAAAAAAAAAA